CAATGTTATGCAAGATACTCACCTCAATTAGGCCAAATCAACACTTAAAAAATAGTAAACTTTCACCACGGCTCAAATCTATCCAAAAATGACTTAATAATATCTAACAATGCAAGAGAAACTAATTTTGATTAATAAAGTTAAGATCTTTATACAATTTCCCAAATGTCAACAAAAGTAAATCCCTGGCCCGCTCATTCAAAACACGAGCCCAAGGGTAGATCTTGACTACTCATAACCTCACGAGTCCATATATGTATTTTTTTTCAAATCCAAGTACAATTCAACTGTCAAATTTCATATTTTTATTTTTCAAAACATAGTAAAAAATTTCCAAAAATTCTCTTCAATTCTCATGATTTAGATGTTAAATCTCATGAACAATCATGTTATATAATCAAAAATGGGTCAAAGTCCCTTGCCCAATAGTTTGGTATGAAAATCTATCCCAAAAATTGCCTCCCACCGAGTCTAGGGCTCAAAATGTGATAAATGAAGCTAAGTCCCAAAATCCTAACCTTTTGTTCACCTGTGGATGACGCAAATGCGACCTGGGGTTCGCAATTGCGGTCCCTTGCAATTGCGGCACAGGGATCGCAAAAGTGAACCTTGACAGCCCACACAGATGTCGCAATTGTAACAAAGGCTTCGCAATTGCGATTGCAGCCTACTTCGCAAAAGCGACCAAATGGTCGCAATTGCGACTTGACCCATATCAACACTGACTTCGCAAATGTGATAAGCGCGTCGCATTTGCGACATCTGAACCTCCCATACCCTCTTTGCAATTGTGATGTTGGTTTTCGTAATTGCGATAACTGCAGCACCAGCAGCTACCTAGAACAAGTTCAACTAATCCGAAAATCACTAGATCCCCCGGGACTCCATACCAAACATCCAAACAAGTCTAAAAATATCATACGAACTCGTTCGCACGATCAAATAACATCCGGAACTACAAATTGGACACCAAAACGCATAAAAATTACAATAAACTCGAGAACCGCCAGAAACACAACCATGCGTCCAATTCCTATCAAACCAACTAAGAATAACACCAAACTTTGCAGACAAGTTCCACACACAAAAATGGACCTATCCGAGTCCCGAAACAAAAATCCGAACCTGATAGCCAAAGTCAACCTACAGTCAAACTTAAGGAATTCCTAAACCTTCAAATTTACAACCTTCGGCAAAACAAGCCAAATCGATCTAGGAACCTCCGAATCCAATTTCGGGCATACACCTAACTCTAAAATTATCATACGAACCTATTGGAATCCTCGAAATACCATTCCGAAGTCCTTTTTACAAAAGTCAAACATTGGTTAACATTTCCAATTTAAGCTTCTAAACTAAGAACGAAAGGATCTAAATCATTCCAAGACTTCCTCGAAATAAAATTAACCATCCTCACAAATCATAAAATTAGAAAAACACATATTAGAAGCTTCAAAAGAGAACACGGGACTCAAATATACACACAACAATTGGTCGGATCGCTACACGCGGGGAGTTGGTGAGTTTCGGGATGGTTTAAGAAAATTTGGAGTATGAAAAAACTTTTGGATTTTTGGTGCATAATATTGCATTCGCAATCGCGAAGCTAAGTCTCGCGATCACGTAGATGAAATAGGATCGGGGGATATTTTGTGCTTCGAGATGCGTGGAGGAGGTTTGCGATCTTGTAGAGTTGATAGATTGTGCATAGAGTCGTGTGAAGGAGGTCGCAATCGCATAGGATCCAGGCAAGTTGGCCTTCACGATCGCGTATTAGGTACGGGCTCTAGTGGTATTTAAGGTCCATATTTCAGGATTTGCCCATTTTCACCATTTTTGAAACCTAGAATTCGAAAAAAGGCAATATTTGAGGAGATTTTCGTCCCAACTTTAAATGTTAGTAGTTTTAACTTGGATTTGACTTAAGATATTGAGTATCCATGGATTTCCACATCTAAATCTATTAATTTTGAAGAAAGAGAATGGGTATTGTCATAAAGAGATTTTTTTATTTTGAACACCAATTTGAGGTTGGATTTGAAAATAAAGTGTATATTTAGACTCGGGAGGTCATGAGTAATTGAATATTTTATTTAGTTTTGGATTTTCAGCATGTCCATCCGGTTTGATTTTTTGTTGACCTTTTCTAAATTCATTAAAGATTAAAGTTTTTTGGATTGAGATTGATTCATAAGGTATTGGTTGACTTATTTAAGTGTTGTTTGGATGGATTTGGAATATTTGGAGGAAATTTTCTAAGAAAAACATGGTATTTGAGGATTGAAGCTTTTTTGGAAGAAGGTACGTATCTTGTTTCTCAAAAATTAGTCTTATGTTTTACAAGCTACATGATTTGGGAGTGGCGTATATGCGAGGTGACGAACGTATATACGTATACTAAGGCTTTACCATGTTTGGATAGTTTTATGCTTCTTTATGCTTAGTTGATTGTACGCTCTTTTTGACTTATGTTTTATTTGATTGTATGACTATGTGAGTCTATTTATTCATGCTAGAGATCATGCTTAGACTCATGACATCTTATTTGGACATTATGGGCTATTCTTGAAATGTTGATATATTTGATTTTAGCCTTAGTCATACTTTATATCATGAACACACATCCAATCTCTATTTGTTCTATCCATGTGCATCTTGTTGGTTATTTCTTGAGCATATACATACATCCTTAAATATGGAGATCTTGATATGAATTGATATAATTATGGCAAATTGGGATACTATAAGTAGATTGATATATTATGACACGATGAGTTTCCTTGTAGCGCTTGAATATGTATTCGTCCTCCGGAGTCGGGCGATCACCTATATTACATTGGTGTTGTGAGCGCGGGTGATACGCGTATCATGTTGGAGCACATGGGATGTGGTAGATCATGTTGGAGCACATGAGATATGCTGGATAGTGGTTATGATTGAGTCTTGAGCAAGCTTGAATATCCTAGAATGATGTAGAAGAATTCATGTAGGTGCTACATGGTGCATAGGCATGAAAATTAAATTATATTTTGGTTATCTTGTTTTGAGAAGCATGCTTATCCTATCTCTGGTTTGAGCACCTTATTATTATATATGTTGTTCTTGGTCAATTTTTGTGATTCTATGCTATTATGAATTGTTCAGGTTGTGAAGGTGAATATCATATTTAATCAAATATCTCATCATTACTTCTTCGAGATTAGACCTGATACTTACTAAGTACACATTAATTTTTGTACTTATACTATACTTCTGCAAGTTTTGTGCAGATCCTGGTATCTGTTCCAACAGCGTTCAAGAGGGCACTTAGCAACTAGATTTGGGGACTTCGTGGTGAGCTGTTGTACTTGGTTCGTAGCTTATGGAGTTCCTTTTCCTTTTTCCACATTGATTATCTTAAATCACACAGTACTACTTTATTTCATCTAAATAGCTCATGGCTCCATAATGCCGGATTTTGGGAGATTATTATACTCTTTTCCGTATTTGGTTTATGATTCGAGACTTATTTACGTTTCATCTATATTGTGGCAGCAGAGTATCCCTTACTTGTATTGCTTTGGTTGATTATGAATGTTGACTTACCTTATGGGCTAGATTAGGTGTCATCACGATCATGATAGGATTTTGAGTCGTAACAAATTCATTAAAAGATAGTACTGGCTCACTTAAAGGATGAATAGAATATGTTAATTTCGAAAATCAGCCAATAATTTCTGGATGTAGTAGTGTTAAAATCGAAATATCTAAATTCAAATGCTGTACGAATTTCTTTCTTTTTTTTCCTATAGGGGAGACACTCAGAAGAGAGTGGAAAAGAAGAACTTGGTAAAAGTTCAATATTTGCTCCTCTACGAACTGTGAATGGAACAACAAATTTGTCAGATTGACCATTGTGCCTCATTTATAATGGATAGTTCTCCATTTAGACTTTCTATTTTTCATATTTTTGGGTTAATGGAACACCTCTTGGTTGGCAGACCCGGTGAACCGTGAAGGAAACGTACTTGATTAATGTTGAGGAATAATGACAATCGTTGGGGAATGTCTTTCCTTTACTTAAATAAAGGTGCCGGAAGTGACAAAGATTCTAATGGAAGAGAGGAAAATTAGAGAGACTTGTGTTTTTGACTTTGTGTCGTTTTTAAGGTTGTCCTTACTGCGGGTATTTGATTAATCAATATGTTAATTATTCAGGACCTTTTTTTGGGTGCATATTTTATAAGCAACACATCGAAAGATACAACTGGCTTGACAAGTGCTAGTTTAAGGACGCGCAAACACCGACCTACATTATTATTTGTTATATCTCCTCCGCACCACATAATTAATTGTTATTGTCCAAAAGAGTTGGCTGAGTTCGTTTGTTGAGTGATTTTCCCACATGGAAAACATATAATCGATTCCCCTCACCAATAATCTTCTCCGTCAGAGCTCATTATACAGGGCTTGTCTAGTGCGGTTTACATCTCATATGTGATTTGCGAGTTATTACATAGTGAGCAGGTTACCCAGTGCGCACCCGAAGGGTAGCGGCTACGAATTTCCTTGAGGATTTTCCAAACAGAAATTGTTATTAGTGCAGTTTGGATATATCAAGTTATTATATCAGATTTATTATAAAAAGTTACATATTATTGTAAATCAACCTAGTTTAGTAAAAATCTACACATGGTAACTGTACAAAACTTAAACTATTTTAACATCGTTAATTTCTCTCAAAATGCATTTTCCCAATGATTTGTACTGGAAAATGTCACGAGAAAGAGAAAGCTTCATCGGGTTTTTCGAAACTTTAGCATAAGCCACATGTTATGTCAACTATTCTGAATTTTAGGTAGTTACCTGACAAAGCAACTCCTATAAGAGAGAAATTTTAATTTCTTAAAACAAAATAATTAACAATAAAATTTCCGCGTCGAAAATAAAAGTAGTGGACTGGACTCCTAATAATCAAGTTGCAATTCTCGCTGTCAGTTTTGCAATAAAAGTCCAACATTAGGGGACCATACAAGAGAACAACGCAGCTCATAATACAACTCAATATTAGCCGTCTTCTTCGTTCGATAATTTGCAATAAACAAGCTCAAATAAAGCAAGAAAGAAACTAAACAACAGAGAGAGTAAGAAAGAACCCTCTACAAGAAGCAAAACGAACAAAAGGCTTGTGTGATTTCTCCTTAATTCAATTATTCCAAGCAAAATGAGAGCTTCTTGTGGTATAGCTCTCTATGTTCTCATCGTATCTCTTTTCATTTCAAATATGGTTGATGCTAACGATGGGACAGAGTTGGTGGGATTGTTGATGCCACTGAGATCTGCAGGAGGAATATGCATAGGTGAGTGCATGGATGAGGAATTAGAGTTGGAGCTTGACAATAGGCGTATATTGGCCACGAGTCGGCGATACATCAGCTATGGAGCATTGCAGAGGAACAATGTCCCTTGCTCTCGTCGTGGAGCTTCCTACTACAATTGCCGTCCTGGTGCTCAGGCCAATCCCTACTCCCGTGGCTGTAGTGCTATTACTCGTTGCAGGCGTTAGGTTCAGAGGCTGAGTTATGTGTGTTCAACTCAACTCATACTCACATTATATATACATAAACAAATTTTTTTATATATATAAAATACTAAGATTACACTCTTTCTGAGCCAACGGGTAAATTTAGAATTTGCCTTCAGTATATTGGATTTCTTTTTGTCTTTTATACAGTATATAGATACTTTTGGAGATGGTGTTGCTTGGTACATAATGAAGAGAGGAAAGAGAGGAGCGATTGGTGATGGCCGGAGGGTGTATCAATTCTTGTCATTAACTATCTTTCTTCTTTTTTTCATTTCTCTTTTATCGATTGATGTTTATACATACGATTAAAAGTAATTTTTCTTGTCAATAATTCAATTTAACATACTGTTATCATATTTGGCCTGTAATCTCGCTTCCAAATTCCAACCGTCCACTCCCCCGTGAAAAAGGAAGAAAAAAGGTTAAAAGGATTAAATTATGCTTCAAGCATTTGTTTATCTTTTAATTGAGTAATTAATAAACATAATATAGGATATTTTGATGTTTATTTGCACAGCTATTTTTGTTTTCAAGATTGCCCTTTTAGATTTGTCTTGTTCAGAATCTGGATCTGTCTTCACCGTGTACATCACTTAATTGGAGACGGAAAATTTTATTTTGTGTCTCATACAACTGACATTAGTTGTATGAGGCATCTTTTTTGTGTCAAATTTTGGTGGACCTAGAAATGTAAGATTGGGGTCCACAAATTTATGAGACAAAAATAAGCCTCACACAACTAATGTCATTTGTGCGAGGCACACAATAATACTTCTCCTACCGTGTAATGGAATTATTGGGGCCTACTTGGTGGTACAGGTTGTACGTTCTGAATCGACTAGTTATAGACCCAACATAGAGCAGTACAGCATGGGGCTGTGGGCCCAAAATAAAGCTGAGATGCTAAAGAATTACTCCCTCCGGTCTAAAATAAGTGATTTTTGGATGTTTTAACACAGATTAAGAAATCCATCTTTTAACATTAATTAGCAATAGAATTGACCATATTAACCTTTACTATCTCACATAAACACTCCTAACACATATTCCAACACTATTTACTCCAAGGACAATGTAGGAAAAAAATAATTAATTCATTCTTGAAATCTAAAAAAATCACTTATTTTGGACCACAAAAAAAAAACCAAAAAATAACTTATTTGGACCTGAGGAAGTACTACTATCTTTCTACCTAAAGAAGTAGTTGAGAGGATAACAGAATTCTCTTTCGGGGGCAGCGAGCGAAAAGTGGAGTTCAAAATCAATCATTGTAAAGGGTCTCATAATGCACTTTACGAAAGCCAGAGTATGAAATTACAATGTTGTAGTAATAATTTTTCTACGTAGATCGAATTCCAGGAGCTGCATAATTGTCCCGCTCACAAGTTATGCTACATAACTCTCTCCCTAAAGAAAATGGAAGAGTGTGATGATCCGATAGGTCATCTAGAGTTTTAATCCTTAATTCTATGTTTCAAAACCTCAAATATCTTTTTTTAGTCTTTCTCTACGTGCGCGGACCGTGTCTTGTTCCGAAAGGTTTAACGTGAAAAATTGATTAAAGTGTGAAATCGTGCTTTAAAATACATTTGAGTTGACTTCTGGCAATATTTTGAGCAAACGGATGCGGATCTGTATTATGACGGATCCGGTGGGTCCTTCTCTTGATTTGGGACTTGGGCGTATGCCCGGAACTATATCTGTTAATCGGGTCGGGCTGGCCCGTTCACAACACGGTTCGACCCGGTTCAGCCCGGTACTGTAGGGGTTGGGGGCGGGCTGGGACGGGTTGGGCGGGGAGCGGATTTTGGACGAACATTTTTTGGTAATCGGTGCACCGGAACCCGCTTAACCCAGTTACCCGTTAACGGGTTTTTACCAGGCCACAACCCGGTTTACGTTACAATTTTTTTTTAATTTTCTGGACAGTTGCCAACGGTCAAATTCAAAAATGACCGTTGGGCAACGGCCTTTTTTTTGCAGAAATGGCCATTTCGGCCTACCTCCTTAAGAAAATAGAACCCCCCCCACTCCCCCACCCCCCACCCCCCGCACCCCTAATAATTGACATTTACAATTTTAACCTTTTAAAAACTATAAATAGCCCCCCTTCTTCTTCATTTCTTCTCACAATTTACTCTCTTATTACTCTAATTCTCTCTTGATAATGTTGTTATTATTCTTAAATTCTCAATTACTTATTATTTCAAGTTTCATCAAATATTTAGTCTAGCCATTATGAAATTATTATTATCAAATATCAAGTATTCAAGTGAAGTGTGGTATCAAGTATCGGTCTATCAATTGAAGTTTGATTTTGATTTTTGATATCAAATTTAGAGATGCATTCGGAATTCCGGTACACTCGTTCCATCTCTTTCTCTTCTTTGGTGTATATCTTTATTTTATTATTTAAAATTATTAATTAATTTACTTAATGGATTTATTAAGAGCAACCAAAAAAGCATGCACTAGTAGGGGTGGTAGTAGTAAGAGTAAAACTTCTAAAAAATCAAGAGGTGGTGCTGGTTCTTCTAGTAGCTTTACACATATTTCTAAAAGTTCACCTGAAAATTTAAATGTAGATTATGAGCGACTTCAAGAAAATTATGGTATAGATGATGATTTAGATGATATTCAATCACCTCATAATCTTGAAACGCCACCATCTACACCTGGTAATGCTAGTCAAACTCAAAATATTAGGGGTGGTGGTCGTGGTAATACAAGTAATGTTATTTTAAACCCTTCTATCAAAATGGCCACTTGTCGCCAATTAATCACTACTTTATATGCTTATATGGATATTGGACCAACTGAAACTCCTGATATTGAAACTTGTATTTCTGATCTACACAAACATTTACAAACTTTATATAATTATTATGCTAACATTGTTGATGCTTCTTCTGCTGTAGATACAAATATTCCTTCAAGTTCAGTTTCAACATCTGGGACCGGTGCTTTGGAGGTTAATGATGGTGTTGAAGATTATTTGATTTGGTCTACATAGGAAAGCATCAACAAACCAGTAGCAGAAATATTGATGAACTCCAATTCTACTTGCAAGTCACCAGAACCCGCACAAAGGAATTTCTACCGCTAGGTTGGTGGAGGAGCAACTCAAATTAATTTTCTGTTCTTTCGGCCATGGCTCGAGACGTGCTAAATGTTGATTTCAACAGTCGCGTCAGAGAGTGCATTTAGCCAAGCAAGGCAGCAACTAGGAGATACCCGTCATTCATTTGGCAGCAACGCTTTGAAAATTCTAGTGTGCTTTAGATATTGGATAAGACCAGAACGGCGAAATCAAGGGCTTGACTAGGTAGATGAAGTGGAGGACCAAGAAATTGGAGATATAATGGTTTATGGTTCCGATTCAAGCAATGCTGGAACCCAAGAACCTCATGTTGACATGGATGAACTTACAAAAATGATGCAAAGCATGTGATGTACTATTTCTTATTTTTTATAATTTTTGTAAACTATTAATTTGCAAATTCAAAAATAAAAAAAAATCAAAAAAGAACTTGCAAATTAATTTGAAGTATTATATATTATTCAATAAAAATGTAAAATTAAAGCCTTCGGAGCTTGATCCTTACATATTGCCTATTGGTCTTATTAAATAATTTTTTGTAGCCACTTACTTTAAAATTTAAAATTCAAATTTGAAACTTTAAACTTCAAAGTTTATTTCTAAGCCTTAAAATTTTGCAAACACTTAAGTATCAATAACATTGAATAAGAAAAATAAAATTTACTTTAAAAAAATAATAATAATTAGCCCGGCCCGGTCCGGACCCGTTAAGTCCGAACCCGGACGGGCCCAAAAAACCCGAAAAAAGACAACTCGCTAACATCCCGTTAACCAGCCCGGAACATTAAACGGACGGGCTCGTTTTTTTTGTGTACAACTTGCCCGTTAAACACCCATAATTCAAACGTGCAACGAATACAACTTGTGTTAAATGTATTCGTTCACGCAACGAGTACAACCTGTATCAACTGTATTCATTCGCGTAATGAATACAACATATATCAACTGTAACCAAGACGAAATACAAGGGTGTATGCAAAAGGTACAACTTGTATCGACTGTATACATGGGTGTATACAGAGGATACAACAAGTATCGACTGTATATATGGGTGTATACAAAGGATACAACAAGTATCGATTGTATTTGTTCGAATACAACTAAAATAAAATACAAAAAAATAAAATGCTCTTGTTGAAAGTTGAACTCCAAATCTCTGCTAAGTAAGTGTAGGTCCTCTAACCAATTGAGCAACGAGAGCTTGTTGCTCTTTTGTTTAAGTTCAAAACAATTAATCTCTTGTTTCATAGATTTTGTTATAAATTTTAAATATAGATATGAATAGTAAATTTACTGAAAGTACGTATAGTTGCGAATGATAAATACAATGCAAATCTTTGAGATGTCGGATAACTTTCCCAAATTTGAAATCACAATGTCATGAATTCAAATACTTGATTGAGACGTTGAAATTTGCAATGAACCAAAATCTGTAGGAATAATAGTGATGCAAGTGGAATTTGGACCATAAAACCATGTGGGTGGTGGTTGAGAGGGCATTTTAATGGAAATTATGAATTTCTCTCTCTGTCTAGAAGTTATAGCAAAATGGCCAAATGGTGGAACCACATTTTCTGGACCCCTTTTTATGCCTTTTCATTAGATATTGTGGTCCTTTGTGAAATCTACGACACAATTTAGAGAAAATATGTTTCCTACACTTTGATTCTTTTGCAAATGTGCTTCGCCAATAGGATTTTTTCTAAGTATTATTGTTCCTTATTTATTTCTTCTTTGATATGAGTGTGTTTAATGAGCAAACTACAAACCTTTTGTTGGCTATCTAAGGATATAATAGTCTTTGCGTCTTCATATTCGCTTGGGTTTTATCTCTTATGGACATGAAATCTTGTGACATTAAGACAAATCTCCTAACAGAAGAATTAACCTAAATAGCTGTCCACTCAATCGCTTAAACTAAATATAATTGGTAAATGCATAATGTTCATATATTTATGTATAACCGATATATTATGTATGTATACCGCTCAGAAAAAGTAAACAGTGAACTCATCCGGCTATTCGTGTAAAGATCTCAATCTAATGTGCCATGGGCCTGGTAGAGGTACTTCCAGGGACAAGTGCACAAAATAGTCGTTCTCAGAGATATTATATAAAGATTAGCCAGTACTTATTTTGTGCTGAAATTCTAAACTAAATTTTTTAACCTCAAGACAATTCAGAACACTTTTGTCCCGAAAATAAAACTGAAAAGCTAAAATTCAGGACGCACTAGTTATT